TATAGAAATTTTATATTACAAAAAGTGTAATATAGCTCTGGCGCCATCTGTTAACTAGGCAATTATGATATTGTAATTAACGCTATTATTTTAAAAATAAATTGAAACACAATTATAATATCCCTATGAAAGTGTGTTTCAATCATCTATTGGCAATACAAGTCGTAAATGTATTGTAAATTTAGCCATGATTTCTAAATTAGCATTATTCAAGCAAAATATGTATTTTCTATATTACACTATGTGACGTTATATGACGTCATATGACTGTCGCATGTAATATAAAATTCTATATTACATGTAATTTACATTACTACTCATTACTCTATACCACGGATGATCACAGGCGTAAATATTGTACTATCATTGTACCTCATATCTGAATAGTATTAGTAACTACAAGGTCGTTCATAAATGATAAGACAGATTTGCCCCTATTTTTGCCCCTGAGCTCATCTGTGCTCTATACTAAATGGTCAGTGACCAATATATATCATCAATCATGGAACAAGAATTAATTTAAATTACATAAAATCTATGCCACTATTGAGATGACATTACTATAGTTAAAACCTACGTTAAATTCTAAATTACATTGATTTCATATATCATATGAATTCTAACAAATGATACAGAATTAAGTATCATAATGTATTTCTATGAGAGACTTGTTCTATATCGATTTATAAATGTTTTAGTTGAAAAATCAAAAATTTAAAAAATTACTTTTTGCAGTATTTAATTATGAACAATCTGATGCACTAATCATTAAAATTGAACATGTAGATTTTAAATGGCAAGCAATTGTAATTATGTAACTTATTGTCACTTAATTCTGTGTCATTTGTTTGAATTCATATATTAGTATAGGATAAGTTGAAATTCCCGATAAAAGTGAACACTGCGGCTAAACCTGGGGTCAGTTGTGCAGATAGATTATATCCACGGACTTCTTATTTGATTTATTTTCATATCATAAAACAAATCATCTTTAATTTGTAATATTTTGTAATGTCGAGTCACTGTCACAGGTGACAGACGCCGTCACAATGTAATTGAAACCCTCCTTTACCAAAATGATCATCTTATGTGAATCATTTGCCCAAATGTTTTATACATACATGTATGTGATATACTGTATCTTTAACCGAGGAAAATATTTTAAAGTGCTTTATTGATAAAGAAAGGTTAGTTAGATTTTTGTTATAGTTTACTAAATATACGGTATATTTAAATTTTAGGCACAACAAGTTGGAATGATGACTGAAATTCACAGTTATTTGATTACATCGTTGGTACGTTTTTTACATTTTTATATACTCCAAAATCCTGCCGATTGCTCGCATCCCGAATGTAACCACACCTTAAAAATTAAAAAGATTACAAAATAAAAAGGCTAACAATTGATAGCCCGCACCCGTGTATTTCAAACCGAAACCAAAATGTATTTCATAGTCTAAAATCTTACATGTTTTTATGCGTTTTTATATCAATACACAAGTTTTTTCTAACAAGCAAACCGGAAATCATGGTATCGCGAGAACTGGATTTAATGGTGATTTACTGTTGTACTATATCAAATAAACTATTTTACAACAAATATCTCGGGCCAAATCTATCTGAGGGATAGCCAAAAACCACCGATACAGACATGGTCATTTTTGTGATTTCGCGTATACGGCGCATAGCATTGAAACACAGTGTTGGGCTAATCACCAGTACGGCATTGTTGTACGCCGTATATGCAAAAATGACCATATTTTGGTCGTTTCTGGCTATCAGCCCGAGATATTTGTTGTAAATTAGTTGTTGCATTGCTGTATTTGACCTAATCTAATACTAAATCACCATTAAATCCAATTCTGGCGATATCATGATTTCCAGTTTGCTTGTAAGTTGTAATTTAATATTATTCCACTTATTATTCACTATAATTAGTCATTTATTGATTATTTGCGACATTTAACATATAATATGTTTAAATTGAGCGTATATATTGATAGCTAACAATTTTTAAAATAGTTTAGAAATTTTATGGCATACTGTGAATCTGCAGATATAGATAATAGACTGTAGATAATATTTATAATAATTTTATGAATTTTTAGGCAAAGGTTTTAATTTATATTACTTTTATATATTAGAATTAATTAAATATAATTTGTGATGATTTACATAGGATTTACATTCTGTGGATTTGGAAGATTTTAAATTCGGTAACACAAAGATTACATCTTTCCGATTGGTAGATGTGGTCAGTCCTGAACTGCAGGATCTAATGTCTCAATGGACTCAATCTGCCTCTAAAATAGGCAAAAAGCATTTATTGCCTCCAAAACATATTCTGGTATTCAAACTCATTCTTATAGTTATAGTTACTTATCATTACAAATACATAAACTATATTATAGACTGAATCGGCTCTTATATACGATGGCGTGAAACTGTTGGCCACAGCTCTTCAGGACTTAGATCAAAGTCAATCAGTGGATGGCATACAACCCATTTCGTGTGAAAGTGGAAATCCATGGCTTTATGGCAGCTCTTTAATCAATTACATGAGACCCGTATGTATTCCACGAATACGCTCTACAGGTATTCACATACAACGTACATACCGTATACAATGACATAACTTTACATGTGTTATGTCAAATCCAGTTGAGAAGGAAATGCTATCTAGGTAATATTAACGCAAGTTTGGAAATCACATTAATATGTGCGTAACATTATCCATGATTATTAAAATTCACTTTAAAACAGGATTTTACATAATATATGTAAAGTTATGTCATTTTATACGGTATATACGTTGTATGTGAATACCAGTAGAGCGTATCCGATGTAAGGTGTGATGTCAATCAATATCCCATAATTTAATGGTTTTTACCAAATGTCCCTGTTGTGTAAATTTTGATTTGGCCACTCTACTCACATCTGTTTAAGTCACATTCTGTTTTTAAATAGTTTTAATATTTTAGTATAAATATCAATATATGAGATATTTATTAAATTTATAAAACAGTTATATCTTTATAATAAAACATGTAATATATTTGTAGATCACATTTCGAGGAATCACAGGACTCGTGGGTTTCGATCAGTCGGGCTATCGATCGAGTTTTGCATTGGATGTCATGACTATCACAACTGACGGACTCCAAAAAGTATGTATAAATCGGTTGTAATGACTGTCTGTTTATAAAATAATACAACTTTTAATAATATCTTTGTATAATTAATCTAATACAGTAATCTAATTATTATTATATTATATACAATACACTAAACCCTTTAATTATGTACACAGACTTTGTTATTATAAGACCAAAACTATTTGCAATATGGTCACCAAACTTTTCACTGTTGTATAATTTAATTATTCTATTTATCGAATTTAATTATTTTTAACCACAATTCAATTTATGAAAAATGTGATTTATAGTCGTTAGGCCCAGCTTCCTCCCCTTCCTCACCCTATACTATAGGGCCTATAGGATTAACATGTTAACAGGTATCCCATGTTAAATCCTATGGCTATACTTAAACATGAGAAGACACTCATAGGTACTGATCCGCTACCTCTCAAAAATACTTTCTTTCTTAATGTCGGCCACTGTATCAGTTTACACTGTTTTATTCACTGTTTTATACAGTGGCCAACATTAAGAAAGAAAGTATTTTTGAGAGGTAGCGGATGAGCACTCATAGGAATAGTGTTAGACACTTTTGGGAAAATTCTTATTTCCCAATATCTTCCCCCCCCCCAAATTGGGAATTTCCCGGAAGATATAAAAGGTGTGGGAACTAACTTTCTCGAGGGAAATTTATATTTTCCGGAAAATGCCTATATGTTGGGAGGGAAACTATTGGGAACCTATTGGGAAACTATTGGGAAAATACGAATCTTCCCAAAAGTGTGTAAAGTCTTTACATTAATTGTGATTGATATTTGAAGATCGGGTATTGGACACAAAGTGGTCAGTCAAACGGCACGAGTAGTTTGCATATAAACTCTGAAATGATGAGCCATTACTCGGCCATATCGATGAAGAACGTGATGCTGACGGTGACGACCGTCATCTCAGAGCCGTACACAATGTTCAAAGACAGCGCCGAAACCCGTATCGGAAACGAACAGTTCGAGGGATTCGCCGTCGATCTCATCGAAGAGTTATCCAAAATAATGGGTTTTAATTATCGCTTTAAATTGGTTTCCGACGGCGCCTATGGTATCAAAGATGAGGAAAGCGGTGAATGGAATGGCATGATTGGTGGGCACATACTTACATACTTTTTATTACTATACTTTACATTGTATAATATACAACATTCATTACAAATATTTATTAAGCAATCATTCAAACAAATCAAATAAATTCATTTTCAGGCGAATTAATCAGGAATGAGGCCGACATCGCTATAGTAGACCTCACCATAACATTCAAACGTGAAGAGGCCGTCGACTTTACTCAACCCTTTATGAACACAGGAATCAGCATTTTATTTAAAAAGCCCACCACTAAAGTGACGACACTCTTCTCCTTCCTCTCTCCCTTTCAAAATATAGTTTGGATTTATGTTTTGGGCGCTTATATTAGTGTCTCCACTATATTATTCATTGTGGGCCGACTCACACCATGTAATATATAATCTATTGATTTATTATTTATTAAAACAATAATTGATTTGTATTACAAACAGATGAATGGGATGATCCGCACCCCTGCAGACAAGGAGATAATGTACTCGAAAATAATTTCAGTTTAATTAATAGCTTTTCATTCACTATCGGCACCATGATGCAACAAGGCTCAGCTGTCGCACCCAAGTTAGCGCACACTACACTCACTATTCTCTCTCTCTCTCTCTCTCTCTC